GAAGACAAAGAACAGAGGACAACAGAAGCAGATACAACAGAGCTAGGAACGATTACATTAACATAAGACGAACATCGGAAAGGGACTATGAGAACGATATTGCAATCAAAGCGAAAAAACAACCTAAGTTACTACACAGTCATATAAGAAGAAAAATGTCGGTGAACGACCAAGTGACAAGACTAAGGAAGACAGAGGGGGCATATACTGAAAGTGACAAGGAAATCTGCGAGGCACTGAATGCCAGTTTCCATGGAGTGTTCACTACCGAGCCTGAGCAGCTCCCATTGTTGGAAGGGGTTACCCTAGATGAAGGACTATCAGATATAGAGGTGACAGCAGAGGAGGTAATGAAACAGTTGACAACTCTAGATGCAACTAAAGCAGTTGGACCAGACAAAGTATCACCGTGGATACTAAAAGAAGCAGCACAGGCCCTCAGCGTGCCTCTGGCAATGATCTTTAATGAGTCACTTATGTCAGGAGAATTGCCCAGTTGCTGGAAGAAGGCAAATGTCGTGCCGATCTTCAAGAAAGGAGATAGGGAGGAGGCACTTAACTACAGACCTGTATCACTGACAAGCATCCCCTGTAAAATACTGGAAAGAATAATTAGGCTACGACTGGTTGCACACCTGGAGAACATTAGGTTTGTGAACAAACATCAACATGGGTTCTGGACAGGGAAATCGTGCCTAACAAACCTTCTGGAATTCTATGATAAAATAACGAGGATAAGACAGGACAGAGATGGTTGGGCAGACTGCATATTTCTGGACTGCCAAAAAGCCTTTGATACAGTACCGCACATGAGACTGCTGTTCAAGCTCGAGAGGCAGGCGGGGGTGGGGGGAAAGGTCCTAGAATGGATAAGGAACTACCTAACAGGAAGGAGCCAAAGAGTTACGGTAAGGGGCGAGAAGTCGGACTGGCGAACAGTAACAAGTGGAGTACCACAAGGATCGGTGCTGGGACCAATTCTATTTCTTGTATATGTTAACGACATGTTTACAGGCGTAGAGTCCTACATGTCGATGTTTGCGGATGATGCAAAGTTGATGAGAAGAGTTGTGACAGATGAGGATTGCAGGATCCTCCAAGAGGACCTGAACAGATTGCAGAGATGGTCAGAGAAATGGCTACTAGAATTCAACACGAGCAAATGTAAAGTTATGGAAATGGGACTAGGAGATAGGAGACCAAAGGGACAGTACACAATGAAGGGGAACAGCCTACCTGTAACGACGCGTGAAAGAGACCTGGGGGTGGACGTAACACCTAATCTATCTCCTGAGGCACATATTAATAGGATAACGACAGCAGCGTACTCTACACTGGCAAAAGTTAGAACATCATTCAGAAACCTAAGTAAGGAGGCATTTAGGGCGCTTTACACTGCCTACGTAAGGCCAGTCTTAGAGTATGCCGCCTCATCATGGAGTCCCCATCTGAAGAAGCATATAATGAAACTGGAAAAGGTTCAGAGGTTTGCAACGAGACTCGTCCCAGAGCTACGAGGGATGGGGTATGAAGAGCGCCTGAGGGAACTGTGCCTTACGACACTAGAAAGAAGAAGGGAGAGGGGGGACATGATAGGAACGTATAAGATACTCAGAGGAATTGACAGAGTGGACATAGACGAAATGTTCACACGGAATAGTAACAGAACGAGAGGACATGGATGGAAGCTTGAAACTCAGATGAGTCACAGAGATGTAAGGAAGTTTTCTTTTAGCGTGAGAGTAGTGGGGAAATGGAATGCACTTCAGGAACAGGTTGTGGAAGCAAATACTATTCATAATTTTAAAACCAGGTATGATAGGGAAATGGGACAGGAGTCATTGCTGTAAACAACCGATGCTCGAAAGGCGGGATCCAAGAGTCAATGCTCGATCCTGCAAGCACATATAGGTGAGTACATATAGGTGAGTACACACACACACACACACACACACACACACACACACACACACACACACACACACACACACGCGCACGCGCGCGCGAACAAGGGGACACAGGTGGAAACTGAGTACCCACATGAGCCACAGAGACGTTAGAAAGAACTTTTTCAGTGTCAGAGTAGTTAACAGGTGGAATGCATGAGGCAGTGATGTGGTGGAGGCTGACTCCATACACAGTTTCAAGTGTAGATATGATAGAGCCCAATAGGCTCAGGAACCTGTACACCTGTTGATTGACGGTTGAGAGGCGGGACCAAAGAGCCAGAGCTCAACCCCCGCAAGCAAAACTAGGTGAGTACAACTGGGTGAGTACACACACACGCCCACTGGATGGGTATGGGGTCCATCTCCACCCACAGGATGGGTATGGGGTCCATCTCCACCCACAGGATGGGTATGGTGTCCACTACCACCCACAGGATGGGTATGGTGTCCACTACCACCCACAGGATGGGTATGGTGTCCACTACCACCCACAGGATGGGTATGGGGTCCACTACCACCCACAGGATGGGTATGGGGTCCACTACCACCCACAGGATGGGTATGGGGTCCACTACCACCCACAGGATGGGTATGGTGTCCACTACCACCCACAGGATGGGTATGGTGTCCACTACCACCCACAGGATGGGTATGGGGTCCACTACCACCCACAGGATGGGTATGGGGTCCACTACCACCCACAGGATGGGTATGGGGTCCACTACCACCCACAGGATGGGTATGGGGTCCACTACCACCCACAGCATGGGTATGGGGTCCACTACCACCCACAGGATGGGTATGGGGTCCACTACCACCCACAGGATGGGTATGGGGTCCAATACCGCCCACAGGATGCCCACACAGCACCTGGGTGAGGAGAGCCCCTGGGGGAGGAGTCTACAGGGAGTGAACGGGTGAATCTGGTGGCGGGAACTGATAGTCAGCGGATGGACACCCGGAGCCCTACAGTTACTCCTTGGGAGCTAGCTAAACCCTCTCTCTCTCTGCCCCCCTGGACGCCGAGGCCTCCACACCTGGCTCTGGACGCCCACTCATAGACACCTGGCTGGACACACGGCTCTGGACACCTGCTCGTGGACAACATTAGTGCTGGGTCAACATTGACTACACTCAGGAGAATTTTGTGTGTTGGAATTATGTCTATTATTATTTCTGCGCTCTTCGACTGCCGTGAAGTCGGGCTGCTTGCGCATGCGATTGTGTATTCCCTTAAATCAGCGACACTCAATGGTGCTGATATCGCTTTCCAGGGCGTACCCTTCAAAATATATCCGGGTCGTGCAGTAGACAAACACACACACACACATGAATTTAACTGAGAACTGAGAGAAGACGATTTCTGTCTTTGCTCCTGATGCTAGTTAAATAAGAACAAATTAAACACAACAAATGACTCAAAAAATACATATTCATATTAGAAATATCCTATTTATCACTCGTGTGGAAGCCCCAAGTTACTTTTGGGTTCCACAGAGCCGAGGTTGAGAAGCGCTGATCGAAATGTTGGTTCAGTTGATTAGCAGGTGTAGTTACGGGTGTGTGATGATTAGCAGGTGTAGTTACGGGTGTGTGATGATTAGCAGGAGTAGTTACGGGTGTGTGATGATTAGCAGGTGTAGTTACGGGTGTGTGATGATTAGCAGGTGTAGTTACGGGTGTGTGATGATTAGCAGGTGTAGTTACGGGTGTGTGATGATTAGCAGGAGTAGTTACGGGTGTGTGATGATTAGCAGGTGTAGGTAGGGGTGTGTGATGATTAGCAGGTGTAGTTACGGGTGTATGAGGATTAGCAGGTTTAGGTAGGGGTGTGTGATGATTAGCAGGTGTAGGTAGGGGTGTGTGATGATTAGCAGGTCTAGTTACGGGTGTGTGAGGATTAGCAGGTGTAGGTAGGGGTGTGTGATGATTAGCAGGTGTAGTTACGGGTGTGTGATGATTAGCAGGTGTAGTTACGGGTGTGTGAGGATTAGCAGGTGTAGTTACGGGTGTGTGAGGATTAGCAGGTGTAGGTAGGGGTGTGTGATGATTAGCAGGTGTAGTTACGGGTGTGTGATGATTAGCAGGTGTAGTTACGGGTGTGTGATGATTAGCAGGTGTAGTTACGGGTGTGTGAGGATTAGCAGGTGTAGGTAGGGGTGTGTGATGATTAGCAGGTCTAGTTACGGGTGTGTGAGGATTAGCAGGTGTAGGTAGGGGTGTGTGATGATTAGCAGGTGTAGTTACGGGTGTGTGATGATTAGCAGGTGTAGTTACGGGTGTGTGATGATTAGCAGGTGTAGTTACGGGTGTGAGATGATTAGCAGGTGTAGTTACGGGTGTGTGATGATTAGCAGGTGTAGTTACGGGTGTGTGATGATTAGCAGGTGTAGTTACGGGTGTGTGAGGATTAGCAGGTGTAGGTAGGGGTGTGTGATGATTAGCAGGTGTAGTTACGGGTGTGTGATGATTAGCAGGTCTAGTTATGGGTGTGTGATGAAGACCACCTCCACAAATGATATATTTGGCACTACTGCAATTCCTGCTTTTACAACCCACGGACCTGTTGGTGCCTGCCATTGGCATCACCTCTGCCTTTATTAAGAGTGTCACTCCTCCTCTTATGCCATATACAGTTGGCTTTCTTGGTTGACTCTTTATGTTCCTTACTTTGTTGGAGGTTCCATCTTCATTTGCTTAACAGATATTTTAGGCTTCTTCGGATAACTGTCTTAATTTTGACTTCTGTCTTCTGTGAGAAATGGTTTTTATTGTTGGCCGGAGAAGGTAAGCGAGTGTGTGTGTGTGTGTGTGTGTGTGTGTGTGTGTGTGTGTGTGTGTGTATGTGTGTGTGTGTGTACTCACCTATACCCACCTATTTCTGCTTGCGGGGATTCAGCTCTGGATCTTTGGTCCCGCCTCTCAACTGTCAATCAACAGGTGTGTGTGTGTGTGTGTGTGTGTGTGTGTGTGTGTGTGTGTGTGTGGAAAGCGCTCCATCAGACCCCAGGTAGAGACAGGAGGTTAAAGATAGGGTGTTGTAAGTCAACCATGGAGGATAATAGAGCAGTTAAGCTTTGCCAATCTCCCAGCAGTGAATTACTGACAGAAAGTAGAGTAGCGTTGATCACTGACTGTCGTCTCCTTTCACCTCTTAAGTGTCCGACATTTCTAAAATATATATATAACCCATCGTCTTGGTGCTTCCTTGAGTCATAGTTAACAACTGTGTTTGGTATTTACACATGTACGGTTTTCACTCTACACACACACACACACACACACACACACACACACACACACACACACACACACACACACACACACACACACACACACACACACACACACACACACCTGTTGATTGACAGTTGAGAGGCGGGACCAAAGAGCCAGAGCTCAACCCCCGCAAGCACAAACAGGTGGGTATAGGTGAGCACACACACACACACACACACACACACACACACACACACACACACACACACACACACACACACACACACACACACACACACACACACACACAGAGCCCAGATAGAGCTATGATAGAGCCCAGTAGGCTCAGGAATCTGTACACCAGTTGATTGACAGTTGAGAGGCGGGACCAAAGAGCCAAAGCTCAACCCCCGCAAGCACAAATAGGTCAGTACACACACACACTAGTGCACAGTACCGCTCAGCAAGCCCACACCTCACACCCGACAATTGCAAATGTCGACCTTTAATCCTTGACTGTCTGCTCTCCAAATTACTCCATGCATTAGTCTGCGGGCTGCGCAGGATGTGAACTGCTTGTTACCAAGACGGAAGCTGGGTTGAATACGTCTGGGACGATGTAGTTCACCTCTCAAGGTGTAGGTAGACAGGAGACTCTGCTCAGTCACGAACTCAAAGAGGTTTACAGAAAGATATCTGTGTGATATCAGAAGTTTGAGTCATTCAGGGGTGTGCGATAGGTAGTTTCCTATCTAGGTAGATAGGTTGTCACTGCTAGTCTACTAGCTAGTCTTACACAGCGTTGGCTAGCAAGTCCTACACCCCGTCGACTTGCAAGTCCTACACCCCGTCGACTAGGAAGTCCTACACACCGTCGACTAGCAAGTCCTACACACCGTCGACTAGGAAGTCCTACACCCCGTTGACTAGGAAGTCCTACACCCCGTCGACTAGGAAGTCCTACATCCCGTCGACTAGGAAGTCCTACACCCCGTCGGCTAGGAAGTCCTACACCCCGTCGACTTGCAAGTCCTACACCCCGTCGACTAGGAAGTCCTACACACCGTCGACTAGCAAGTCCTACACACCGTCGACTAGGAAGTCCTACACACCGTTGACTAGGAAGTCCTACACACCGTCGACTAGGAAGTCCTACACCCCGTCGACTAGGAAGTCCTACACCCCGTCGACTTGCAAGTCCTACACCCCGTCGACTAGCAAGTCCTACACCCCGTCGACTAGCAAGTCCTACACCCCATCGACTAGCAAGTCCTACACCCCGTCGACTAGGAAGTCCTACACCCCGTCGGCTAGGAAGTCCTACACCCCGTCGACTAGGAAGTCCTACACCCCGTCGACTAGGAAGTCCTACACCCCGTCGGCTAGGAAGTCCTACACCCCGTCGACTAGGAAGTCCTACACCCCGTCGACTAGCAAGTCCTAGACACCGTCGACTTGCAAGTGAGAGACGAGAAAAGACTTGTAATCTTGAGTGTGAAGTAGAGGAAGTGAGACACATTAGCCATACCCAGGTATTACTGCCGGAAGTGTGAGGTGTCTCTCACTCTGCACCCTGTGTCTCAGATCATCACTCTGCACCCTGTGTCTCAGACCTGACATTAGACGCTGCATTTAAGAATAAGCTAAGATGGTTGTTCTTGCTGTGGCATATGTTTTTGTTCTCATCTCCCTTTACTTGCTTTCTTGTCGTCATGTAGAAAGAAAGGTTTATTTGTTTGTCCAAGAGTGGAGGGCAGAAGGTTAGGGTCCAACTCTGCAGGGGGAATGGTCTGCGGAAAGGGACATAAGCTGGTTGGGCTCGACCTAAGTTTTATAGTTTAAGGAATATTAGCATCAGTGATATTAGGTCAGTGATCGTCTTACCAAGGACCTCGTCGATGGTATTCCCTCCAAGAGGAGCACCTAGGAGTGTGCTGTCTTCAGGATTGATTGTATGGATATCAGACAAAACAACCTTTATTTGCTCTATTATGTGCGGGTTGGTGGAGGTTATTTCACACTTGGAAGGGTTCAGGGTGAGGCCTAGACTTGCTCCTTGCTCCTGAATTACTCTTATGTCGTCCAAGAGTGAGTCTGGGGAGACGGCTAGAGTACCATCGTCCAATATATATATATATATATATATATATATATATATATATATATATATATATATTTTGTGTGTGTGTGTGTGTGTGTGTGTGTGTGTGTGTGTGTGTGTGTGTGTGTGTGTGTGTGTGTGTGTGTGTGTGAGAGAGAGAGTGTGTGTTGTACCTAATAGCCAGAATGCAGTACTTGGCTTAATATGCAAGCCCCGTTTGCTTAATAAGCCAAGTTTTCCTGAAGTTATATATTTTCTCATTTTTGTTCCTGTGAAATGTTGAGAAGAAATAAGATGCACCAAGAGAGAGCCTGACTCCGCCTCCATAACCTGAGTCAGTCCACCTGTGGGTATAATGACAGGTCTTACACACACACACACACACACACACACACACACACACACACACACACACACACACACACACACACACACACACACACACACACACACACACACACTCACACACACACACACACACACAGGTTTCAAAGGTTTGCCACCAGACTAGTACCCGAGCTGAGAGGTATGAGCTACGAGGAGAGACTACGGGAATTGACCTCACTTCGTTGGAAGACAGAAGAGTTAGGGGGGACATGATCACCACATTCAAGATTCTCAAGGGAATCTACAGGGTTGATAAAGATAGTCTATTTAACACAAGGGGCACACGCACTAGGGGACACAGGTGGAAACTGAGTGCCCAAATGAGCCACAGAGATATTAGAAAGAACTTTTTTAGTGTCAGAGTGGTTGACAAATGGAATGCATTAGGAAGCAATGTGGTGGAGGCTGACTCCACACACAGTTTCAAGTGTAGATATGATAGAGCCCAATAGGCTCAGGAACGTGTACACCTGTTGATTGACGGTTGAGAGGCGGGACCAAAGAGCCAGAGCTCAACCCCCGCAAGCACAACTAGGTGAGTTCAACTAGGTGAGTACACACACACACACACACACACACACACACACACACACACACACACACACTCACACACACACACACACACACACACACACACACACACACACACACACACACACACACACACACACACACACACACAGATTCCCTCAGGTGAATCGACCGGGTAAACAAGGATAAACTATTCAACACTGGTGGGACGCGAACAAGGGGACACAGGCGGAAACTGAGTACCCTCATGAGCCACAGAGACGTTAGAAAGAACTTTTTTCAGTGTCAGAGTAGTTAACGTATGGAATGCATTAGGCAGTGATGTGGTGGAGGCTGACTCCATACACAGTTTCAAGTGTAGATATGACAGAGCCCAGTAGGCTCAGGAACCTGTACACCTGTTGATTGACAATTGAGAGGCGGGACCAAAGAGCTAAAACTCAACCCCCGTAAGCACAAATAGGTGAATAGGTGAGTACACACACACACCAACACTGTGACACTCTAGTAGTTGACATAATGTGTGTTTATGGTGCTGTTAGCTCATTAGGCCAGAGTGAGGAAGGTTAGGTGAGGCCTGTTGTGTGGTAGTGTGGCTGGGGAGGGGGGAGGAGGGGTGAGGGGAGCCTCCGTAGGTGTTGGAGGTAATTAGGCAACATTTACATGATGGAGAAGACACAGCAGATACGGTTATCTTATTAAAGGTCTTCCTGTTGTGACACATGTATCCTCATGTTATGTGTATGTGGGCCCCACAGCTGAGTGGAGAGCGCTTCGGATTCGTAGTCCTGAGGTTCCGGGTTCGATGCCAGGTGGAGACGGATACAAATGGGGCTGAGTTTCTTTCACCCAGATGCGCCTGTTCACCCTAGCAGTAAATAGGTACCTGGGTGTTAGACAGCTGCTACGGGCTGCTTCCTGGGGGTGTGTAACAAAAAGGAGGTCCTGGTTGAGGACCGGGCCGCGGGGACGCTAAGCCCCGAAATCATGTCAAGATAACCTCAAGATAACCTCAAGATTTGCGTGACACTTATAGCATTTCGTGCAAGTCCTTAATCCTAATTTTCACCCCCCCCCCAACCCCCACGAAGCAGCCCGTAGCAGCTGTCTAACTCCCAGGTACCTATTTACTGCTAGGTGAACAGAAACATCAGGGGCGAAAGAAACCGCCGCCTGTAATTTCCGCCTCCACCGGGGATCGAACTTGGACCCTTAGGACTACGAACCCCGAGCGCTGTCCACTCAGCCATCAGACCCCCCAGATTAACATTTGTAAACCTCTTATTTCAGGTACACTGAGTGGACATTTTAGGTATACCTTGCTCATTTATGTCTCATTCACAACTTGATTATATATGTTTCTCATTCACAACTTGATTTATATATTTCTCATTCACAACTTGATTATTTTTTCTCATTCACAACTTGATTATTTTTTCTCATTCACAACTTGATTATTTTTTCTCATTCACAACTTGATTATTTTTTCTCATTCACAATTTGATTTATATATCTTGGTTATTTTTTCTCGTTTAAAAGTAGATTTATGTCTCATTTAAGAGATTATAAATGTAAACAAGGATTGGGGGGGGGGGCATTTATTTCTCACACTAACTACCTGTCCTCCTCCTCCACAGTGCACGAGGGGCTCTTAAGGTGTGGTTCAGGTGTGGGGGCGGTTGTGGTGGGGGAGTGTCGCCCCCTCTACCACAACCCCCACCACAACCACAACCTCCTCCACACCCCGGCTACTACTCACCGCTCTTCAAGACACCTCCACCTCAGAGCGCGTTCTTACGGTAAGGGAGAATGTTATTTTTGTGGGTGTGAATGATGTGCTGTTTCTGGTGGGGGGTAAGTGGTGGATCAAGTGGATTGTTGTGGGTGTCTGTATGCACCACCTGTGCATATAGCCTGAGAAACCTAGCCCCTGAGGAGAAACCTAGCCCTGAGGGTCTTAAACCAAGCCCTGAGGGTCCCTAAACCGAGCCCTGAGGTCCTAAACCTAGCCCTGAGGTCCTAAACCTAGCCCTGAGGTCCTAAACCTAGCCCTGAGGTCCTAAACCGAGCCCTGAGGTCCCTAAACCGAGCCCTGAGGTCCCTAAACCGAGCCCTGAGGTCCTAAACCTAGCCCTGAGGTCCTAAACCGAGCCCTGAGGTCCTAAACCGAGCCCTGAGGTCCCTAAACCGAGCCCTGAGGTCCTAAACCTAGCCCTGAGGGTCTTAAACCAAGCCCTGAGGGTCCCTAAACCGAGCCCTGAGGTCCTAAACCGAGCCCTGAGGTACTTAAACCTAGCCCTGAGGTCCTAAACCGAGCCCTGAGGTCCTAAACCGAGCCCTGAGGTCCCAAACCGAGCCCTGAGGTCCTAAACCTAGCCCTGAGGTCCTAAACCTAGCCCTGAGGTCCTAAACCGAGCCCTGAGGTCCCTAAACCGAGCCCTGAGGTCCTAAACCTAGCCCTGAGGTCCTAAACCTAGCCCTGAGGTCCTAAACCGAGCCCTGAGGTCCCTAAACCGAGCCCTGAGGTCCTAAACCGAGCCCTGAGGTCCTAAACCTAGCCCTGAGGTCCTAAACCTAGCCCTGAGGTCCTAAACCTAGCCCTGAGGTCCTAAACCGAGCCCTGAGGTCCCTAAACCGAGCCCTGAGGTCCTAAACCGAGCCCTGAGGTTCTAAACCGAGCCCTGAGGTCCTAAACCTAGCCCTGAGGTCCTAAACCTAGCCCTGAGGTCCTAAACCTAGCCCTGAGGTCCTAAACCTAGCCCTGAGGTCCTAAACCTAGCCCTGAGGTCCTAAACCGAGCCCTGAGGTTCTAAACCGAGCCCTGAGGTCCTAAACCTAGCCCTGAGGTCCTAAACCGAGCCCTGAGGTCCTAAACCTAGCCCTGAGGGTCTTAAACCAAGCCCTGAGGGTCTCTAAACCGAGCCCTGAGGTCCCAAACCGAGCCCTGAGGTCCCAAACCGAGCCCTGAGGTCCTAAACCGAGCCCTGAGGTACTTAAACCTAGCCCTGAGGTCCTAAACCTAGCCCTGAGGTCCTAAACCGAGCCCTGAGGTCCTAAACCGAGCCCTGAGGTTCTAAACCGAGCCCTGAGGTCCTAAACCTAGCCCTGAGGTCCTAAACCGAGCCCTGAGGTCCTAAACCTAGCCCTGAGGTCCTAAACCTAGCCCTGAGGTCCTAAACCTAGCCCTGAGGTCCTAAACCTAGCCCTGAGGTCCTAAACCTAGCCCTGAGGTCCTAAACCTAGCCCTGAGGTCCTAAACCGAGCCCTGAGGTCCTAAACCGAGCCCTGAGGTTCTAAACCGAGCCCTGAGGTCCTAAACCTAGCCCTGAGGTCCTAAACCGAGCCCTGAGGTCCTAAACCTAGCCCTGAGGTCCTAAACCTAGCCCTGAGGTCCTAAACCTAGCCCTGAGGTCCTAAACCTAGCCCTGAGGTCCTCCTCCTTAATCTTAATTTCCCCCTGGAATACGACCCGCCAAATTGTTTAACAAGCAGGTACCCCATTCACTGCTGGGTGAACAGAGGCTTACAGTTAGGGATTGGCGCCTAGTCAATCCTCCCCGGCTAGGATACGAACCCCGACTTTCAGAAATACTTGATCACTATGACATCATTATGGAAGCATCAGAAGGAAGAGATTATCTTTGAGATTATCTTGAGATTATTTGAGATTATCTTGAGATTATCCCAATATATCCTTGAGGAACCCAATATACTGAACACAGACTTGCAAAAAAACATTTGATAAATGAGACCATACGAGAATTGCCAATAAAAATGACATTCAAGGGAATAATTGGTAAAGTGGGAAGGTAGATTTTAAAATTTTCTAAGTTAACAGAAGTTAACTTAGAAAATAGTTATAAGTTAAAACAGTTAGAGGTTAAAATTGTCTAAGTTCCCTTCCCTTCAGTAAATGAAGGGAAGGGAACTATCAGGGAGAAAGCACCAAGCCATTGCGACTATATAGCACTGGGAAGGGGTCAGGATAAGGATTTGGGATGGGACGGGGGAAAGGAATGGCGCCCAACCACTTGTGGACGGTCTCGGGGGATTGAACGCCGACCTGCATCAAGCGAGACCGTCACTCTACCGTCCAGCCCAAGTGTCTGAACGCAGAGTGTAGAGAGTGTGGAAGGGTGTTCGTGAAGGCACGGTCCTTGCACCCTTGCTCTCTCTCACCCTCACGAAGACGTGACACGGATACAGACACAAGCTTCGTGTCATCCTTCCCTGACGACAACACCAAAAGATCCAAGAAAATTGTCTCTGGGGAACAAGCAGAACAAGTACAATCTCATATTAACAATGTCTTCAAGTGGGAAATTGAAAATTATATGACATCCAACGGTGACAAATTCCATGTGTTTCAGTGTGGGGGGAAATGCAACCCGTTATCGCACTTTCGTATAGTCAATATTGACTTATTAAATACGTGCATATGTGACATACTAATTTATTGTGAATAGTTTAGTTTACCTTGAAAAGCTTCATAGAAAACACCGACCTTACCTAACCTTCTTAGTATGTTAAGATAAGCATCTTATTGCTTCGTAATTACAATTATTACTTAACCTATTATAGGCATAGGTTAAGTAATATATTAAGTAATAACCTATTATAGGTATAGGTTAAGTAATAATTGTAATTACGAAGCAATAAGATGCTTATCTTAACATACTAAGACGGTTAGGTGAGGTCGGTGTTTTCTATGAAGCTTTTCAAGGTAAACTAAAATATTCACAATAAATTAGTATGTCACATATGCACTTATTTAATAAGTCAATATTGACTGTAAGAAAGTGCGAGAACGGGTTGCAAAAATGATAGCATTAAATGAAGTACATAATTCAAGACACAGTCAGATATTGTCATAGAAATGAATTGACAAGTTTAAGACATTTTAATAAAAGTGTCAGAAGATTTAACATTTAGAGATCAAAATAATGCAAGATTTACAACAGAAAGGAAAAGGACAGGATATCTTGAGGTTATCTTGAGATGATTTCGGGGCTTTTAGTGTCCCCGCGGCCCGGTCCTCGACCAGGCCTCCACCCCCAGGAAGCAGCCCGTGACAGCTGACTAACACCCAGGTACCTATTTTACTGCTAGGTAACAGGGGGCATAGGGTGAAAGAAACTCTGCCCATTGTTTCTCGCCGGCGCCTGAGATCGAACCCAGGACCACAGGATCACAAGTCCAGCGTGCTGTCCGCTCGGCCGACCGGCTCCCTGATAAATAAGGTTATCTTGATACAGGAAATGCTTGCTGTATCTCATGCACGCTCCCAACCTCAACAGTCTAGCTGGACGAGGTCTTCGAGAAGCCATTGTTGTATGGGTTTACACATAGAAATCACAATAGCGTGATGCATCAAGTGAATAAATCCACAAATCCAATTCTTTTGACCATGTCGTAGCTCAGTCGATTAAGGCAGAGTTTGGGAACCTCTCAGACGCAGGTTCGAATCCTCGTCACGGCCCTTGTGGATTTGCTCATTATATGTGTTTGCTTTCTCTAAACTGTAGCGAAATGTAATAAAATGAATTTAACAAATAAATCACATTATATAAATAAGAATAAGTAGAGGTGACATTAGAAGAAAATAATAATATTAATAATAATCCATTTTGTCGGTGACAGGTTGCCTGTATATATATATATATATATATATATATATATATATATATATATATATATATATATATATATATATATATATATATATATATATATATATCAAGTGTTCAGGGAGAATCTGCAAGGTCTTCATTAAGTACCATTTATTCTCTTCGCCGAAACCATGGGTCCCCAACAGTTGGCCCAGAGGTGATACCCTCTATATGTAACATTAATAGTATTAATATGTGCAAGTTAGCGCTAAAAGTGTCGTTTTCTACGATGGTGTAACAAAGAAAATGGATCAAGTTTAGGGTAAACAATTATTATTTCCACTTCGTATCTTAATGAAGTTTACCCGAATGTCTATATCATATATAAAGTTTATATTTTCATTACGTAAGGTTAAGAGAGGATATATATTCAGTTATATATTTGTTTTGAAGTGTAGTTATGACGTAGCTGGACTTCACTATGGGGCGGTTCTAGAACCATATATACACATATACACACAGGCTCCCTGTCCCAGACATATCACCTGGATATTATATTAGACACAGTAAATATGTTCAGTATAATATATTATTGTATATTAGTATATATATTATGTATATATATTAAATATATTAAGACTAATAATTGTATCATGATAAATGCAATATTGACTTATCGATCAATTTACAAATTAATTACAATGACAATACACAATATAATTGTATCATGATCAATTATTAATATATATAATTATTAGAATTATAAATTAATATAATAGTCCTGATATAGACAGGACTTATATTCATATGTCCGTCACAATGTTCTATAAATATACTTATTTAAGTTAAGAACTTATGTAAGTTCTATAAGTATATAAATATACTTATTTAAGTATATTTAAGTTAAGAACTTATGTAAGTTCTATAAGTATATAAATATACTTATAGAATATGAATTAGAATGAATATTATAGAATAAATTCTATACTTTTTCTATACATGATTTTTTTTCTGTCTAGTGTGGGATATTAATCTTATATATATGTTTAAGGGGTCGGTCGGCCGAGCCGACAGCACGCTGGACACGTGATCCTGTGGTCCCGGGTTCGATCCCAGGCGCCGGCGAGAAACAATGGGCAGAGTTTCTTTCACCCTATGCCCCCCTGTTACCTAGCAGTAAAATAGGTACCTGGGTGTTAGTCAGCTGTCACGGACTGCTTCCTGGGGGTGGAGGCCTGGTCGAGGACCGGGCCGCGGGGACACTAAAGCCCCGAAATCATTTCAAGATAGCTCTAAAGGGCTACCAGCTCTAAAGAGCTACCAGCTCTAAAGTGCTACCAACTCTAAAGTGCTACCAACTCTATAGTGCTACCAGCTCTATAGTGCTACCAACTCTAAAGTGCTACCAACTCTATAGTGCTACCAGCTCTAAAGTGCTACCAACTCTAAAGTGCTACCAGCTCTATAGTGCTACCAACTCTATAGTGCTACCAACTCTAAAGTGCTACCAACTCTATAGTGCTACCAACTCTAAAGTGCTACCAACTCTATAGTGCTACCAACTCTAAAGTGCTACCAACTCTATAGTGCTACCAACTCTAAAGTGCTACCAACTCTATAGTGCTACCAACTCTAAAGAGCTACCAGCTCTAAAGTGCTACCAACTCTAAAGTGCTACCAACTCTATAGTGCTACCAGCTCTATAGTGCTACCAACTCTAAAGTGCTACCAACTCTATAGTGCTACCAGCTCTATAGTGCTACCAGCTCTATAGTGCTACCAACTCTAAAGTGCTACCAGCTCTATAGTGCTACCAGCTCTATAGTGCTACCAACTCTAAAGTGCTACCAACTCTAAAGTGCTACCAACTCTATAGTGCTACCAACTCTAAAGTGCTACCAACTCTATAGTGCTACCAACTCTAAAGTGCTACCAACTCTAAAGTGCTACCAACTCTATAGTGCTACCAACTCTAAAGTGCTACCAACTCTAAAGTGCTACTAACTCTATAGTGCTACCAGCTCTAAAGTGCTACCAACTCTATAGTGCTACCAACTCTAAAGTGCTACCAACTCTAAAGTGCTACCAACTCTATAGTGCTACCAACTCTAAAGTGCTACCAACTCTAAAGTGCTACCAACTCTAAAGTGCTACCAACTCTATAGTGCTACCAGCTCTATAGTGCTACCAACTCTAAAGTGCTACCAACTCTATAGTGCTACCAACTCTATAGTGCTACCAACTCTAAAGTGCTACCAACTCTAAAGTGCTACCAACTCTATAGTGCTACCAACTCTAAAGTGCTACCAACTCTAAAGTGCTACCAACTCTAAAGTGCTACCAACTCTAAAGTGCTACCAACTCTATAGTGCTACCAACTCTATAGTGCTACCAACTCTAAAGTGCTACCAACTCTAAAGTGCTACCAACTCTATAGTGCTACCAACTCTAAAGTGCTACCAACTCTATAGTGCTACCAACTCTATAGTGCTACCAACTCTAAAGTGCTACCAACTCTAAAGTGCTACCAACTCTATAGTGCTACCAACTCTAAAGTGCTACCAACTCTAAAGTGCTACCAACTCTAAAGTGCTACCAACTCTATAGTGCTACCAGCTCTATAGTGCTACCAACTCTAAAGTGCTACCAACTCTAAAGTGCTACTAACTCTATAGTGCTACCAGCTCTATAGTGCTACCAACTCTAAAGTGCTACCAACTCTATAGTGCTACCAACTCTAAAGTGCTACCAGCTCTATAGTGCTACCAACTCTAAAGTGCTACCAACTCTATAGTGCTACCAACTCTAAAGTGCTACCAACTCTATAGTGCTACCAACTCTAAAGTGCTACCAACTCTAAAGTGCTACCAACTCTATAGTGCTACCAGCTCTATAGTGCTACCAACTCTAAAGTGCTACCAACTCTATAGTGCTACCAGCTCTATAGTGCTACCAACTCTAAAGTGCTACCAACTCTATAGTGCTACCAGCTCTAAAGTGCTACCAACTCTAAAGTGCTACCAGCTCTATAGTGCTACCAACTCTAAAGTGCTACCAACTCTATAGTGCTACCAGCTCTATAGTGCTACCAACTCTAAAGTGCTACCAACTCTATAGTGCTACCAGCTCTATAGTGCTACCAACTCTAAAGTGCTACCAACTCTATAGTGCTACCAGCTCTAAAGTGCTACCAACTCTAAAGTGCTACCAGCTCTATAGTGCTACCAACTCTAAAGTGCTACCAACTCTATAGTGCTACCAGCTCTATAGTGCTACCAACTCTAAAGTGCTACCAACTCTATAGTGCTACCAACTCTATAGTGCTACCAGCTCTATAGTGCTACCAACTCTAAAGTGCTACCAACTCTATAGTGCTACCAGCTCTATAGTGCTACCAACTCTAAAGTGCTACCAACTCTATAGTGCTACCAACTCTAAAGTGCTACCAACTCTATAGTGCTACCAACTCTAAAGTGCTACCAGCTCTATAGTGCTACCAACTCTAAAGTGCTACCAACTCTATAGTGCTACCAGCTCTAAAGTGCTACCAACTCTAAAGTGCTACCAACTCTAAAGTGCTACCAGCTCTAAAGTGCTACCAACTCTAAAGTGCTACCAACTCTAAAGTGCTACCAGCTCTAAAGTGCTACCAACTCTAAAGTGCTACCAACTCTAAAGTGCTACCAACTCTAAAGTGCTACCAACTCTAAAGTGCTACCAACTCTAAAGTGCTACCAGCTCTATAGTGCTACCAACTCTAAAGTGCTACCAACTCTATAGTGCTACCAGCTCTATAGTGCTACCAGCATCACCGCGGAATGATCTGGAAGACTCTGGAAATAGTGCCATTATAGAGCCACGACCAGCTAGCTACCAGTCACGTGGAGGTCCGTGAACTTGCTGGCACTCTACGACTGCCCCTGGCACTCTACGACGGCCCCCTGGCACTCTACGACGGCCCCTGGCATTCTACGACGGCCCCCTGGCACTCTACGACGCCCCCTGGCACTCTACGACGGCCCCTGGCACTCTACGACGGCCCCCTGGCACTCTACGACGGCCCCTGGCACTCTACGACGCCCCCTGGCACTCTACGACGGCCCCCTGGCACTCTACGACGGCCCCTGGCACTCTACGACGCCCCCTGGCACTCTACGACGGCCCCTGGCACTCTACGACGGCCCCTGGCATTCTACGACGGCCCCTGGCACTCTACGACGCCCCCTGGCACTCTACGACGGCCCCTGGCACTCTACGACTGCCCCTGGCACTCTACGACGGCCCCTGGCACTCTACGACGGCCCCTGGCACTCTACGACGGCCCCTGGCACTCTACGACGCCCCCCTGGCACTCTACGACGGCCCCCTGGCACTCTACGACTGCCCCTGGCACTCTACGACGGCCCCTGGCACTCTACGACGCCCCCCTGGCACTCTACGACGCCCCCCTGGCACTCTACGACGGCCCCCTGGCACTCTACGACGCCCCCCTGGCACTCTACGACGCCCCCCTGGCACTCTACGACGCCCCCCTGGCACTCTACGACGGCCCCCTGGCACTCTACGACTGCCCCTGGCACTCTACGACGGCCCCTGGCACTCTACGACGGCCCCTGGCACTCTACGACGGCCCCTGGCACTCTACTACGGCCCCCTGGCACTCTACGACGGCCCCTGGCACTCTACTACGGCCCCTGGCACTCTACTACGCCCCCTGGCACTCTACGACGCCCCCCTGGCACTCTACTACGGCCCCCTGGCACTCTACGACTGCCCCTGGCACTCTACGACTGCCCCTGGCACTCTACGACGCCCCCCTGGCACTCTACGACGCCCCCCTGGCACTCTACGACGGCCCCCTGGCACTCTACGACTGCCCCTGGCACTCTACGACGGCCCCTGGCACTCTACGACGGCCCCTGGCACTCTACTACGGCCCCCTGGCACTCTACGACGGCCCCTGGCACTCTACTACGGCCCCTGGCACTCTACTACGCCCCCTGGCACTCTACGACGCCCCCCTGGCACTCTACTACGGCCCCCTGGCACTCTACGACTGCCCCTGGCACTCTACGACTGCCCCTGGCACTCTACGACGCCCCCCTGGCACTCTACGACGCCCCCTGGCACTCTACGACGCCCCCCTGGCACTCTACGACGGCCCCTGGCACTCTACGACGCCCCCTGGCACTCTACGACGCCCCCCTGGCACTCTACGACGGCCCCCTGGCACTACGACGCCCCCCTGGCACTCTACGACGCCCCCCTGGCACTCTACGACGCCCCCCTGGCACTCTACGACGGCCCCCCTGGCACTCTACGACTGCCCCTGGCACTCTACGACGGCCCCTGGCACTCTACGACGGCCCCTGGCACTCTACGACGGCCCCTGGCACTCTACTACGGCCCCTGGCACTCTACGACGGCCCCTGGCACTCTACTACGGCCCCTGGCACTCTACTACGCCCCCTGGCACTCTACGACGCCCCCCTGGCACTCTACTACGGCCCCCTGGCACTCTACGACTGCCCCTGGCACTCTACGACTGCCCCTGGCACTCTACGACGCCCCCCTGGCACTCTACGACGCCCCCCTGGCACTCTACGACGCCCCCCTGGCACTCTACGACGGCCCCCTGGCACTCTACGACTGCCCCTGGCACTCTACGACGGCCCCCTGGCACTCTACGACGGCCCCTGGCACTCTACGACGCCCCCTGGCACTCTACGACGGCCCCTGGCACTCTACGACGCCCCCTGGCACTCTACGACGGCCCCTGGCACTCTACGACGGCCCCTGGCATTCTACGACGGCCCCTGGCACTCTACGACGGCCCCTGGCACTCTACGACGGCCCCTGGCATTCTACGACGGCCCCTGGCACTCTACGACGGCCCCTGGCATTCTACGACGGCCCCTGGCACTCTACGACTGCCCCTGGCATTCTACGACGGCCCCTGGCACTCTACGACGGCCCCTGGCATTCTACGACGGCCCCCTGGCACTCTACGACGCCCCCTGGCACTCTACGACGGCCCCTGGCATTCTACGACGGCCCCTGGCACTCTACGACGGCCCCTGGCATTCTACGACGGCCCCTGGCACTCTACGACTGCCCCTGGCACTCTACGACGGCCCCTGGCACTCTACGACGGCCCCTGGCACTCTACGACGGCCCCTGGCATTCTACGACGGCCCCTGGCACTCTACGACTGCCCCTGGCATTCTACGACGGCCCCTGGCATTCTACGACGGCCCCCTGGCACTCTACGACGCCCCCTGGCACTCTACGACGGCCCCTGGCATTCTACGACGGCCCCTGGCACTCTACGACGGCCCCTGGCATTCTACGACGGCCCCTGGCACTCTACGACTGCCCCTGGCACTCTACGACGGCCCCTGGCACTCTACGACGGCCCCTGGCACTCTACGACGGCCCCTGGCATTCTACGACGGCCCCTGGCACTCTACGACTGCCCCTGGCACTCTACGACGGCCCCTGGCACTCTACGACGGCCCCTGGCACTCTACGACGCCCCCCTGGCACTCTACGACGGCCCCCTGGCACTCTACGACTGCCCCTGGCACTCTACGACGGCCCCTGGCACTCTACGACGCCCCCCTGGCACTCTACGACGCCCCCCTGGCACTCTACGACGGCCCCCTGGCACTCTACGACGCCCCCCTGGCACTCTACGACGCCCCCCTGGCACTCTACGACGCCCCCTGGCACTCTACGACGCCCCCCTGGCACTCTACGACGCCCCCCTGGCACTCTACGACGGCCCCCTGGCACTCTACGACTGCCCCTGGCACTCTACGACGGCCCCTGGCACTCTACGACGGCCCCTGGCACTCTACGACGGCCCCTGGCACTCTACTACGGCCCCCTGGCACTCTACGACGGCCCCTGGCACTCTACTACGGCCCCCTGGCACTCTACGACGGCCCCTGGCACTCTACGACTGCCCCTGGCACTCTATGACGGCCCCTGGCACTCTACGACGGCCCCTGGCACTCTACGACGGCCCCTGGCACTCTACTACGGCCCCCTGGCACTCTACGACGGCCCCTGGCACTCTACTACGGCCCCTGGCACTCTACTACGGCCCCCTGGCACTCTACGACGGCCCCTGGCACTACTTGGCACTATATTTAACATTAAAAGTTAAAATACAATTATATGAATATTTTGTAAGCAATTTTTGACGTACGAAAATTATAGAGGAACTTAATAATGGTCTGAAAAACAAACATAATATTTTTTTTAATATAAGGCAGATGTGATAGATTAGGTCAATGATTTACGATTTGCTTATGAAAGGAACTTGTTATAGGTATATAGTGAACTACTGGTATTAAGTTGGTGTATAGCGAAAACCGCATGTGTGGTGTGCTTGTGGTGTGAATTCAATTTCAATTTCTTTCTTTATTATGCACCCCATACCCATCCCGTGGGCGGTGTGAGGGAGTGGTGGTTGTGCTTGCGGCGTGGGCGTGGGAGTGGGCGTGGGGAGGGTTGAGAAAAGTGACCTACTCTTTCCCAGAACACATCAAGGTGACGAAGCCGCTACTGCACGGAGTGTCTGTACCCGCAGGCACGGTCTTGTGAAGCACACGTCAGGTGAACAGGTGTATAACACCAGATAACATGGGTTAGAAACCACAGAGGGGCTCCATGTACCCGCAGGAAAGGCTGCGGGAAATGCACCTTACGACACTGGAAGACAGAAGAGTAAGGGGAGACATGATCACAACCTACAAAATCCTCAGGGGAATCGACCGGGTAAACAAGGATAAGCTATTCAACACTGGTGGGACGCGAACAAGGGGACACAGGTGGAAACTGAGTACCCAAATGAGCCACAGGGACATTAGAAAGAACTTTTTTAGTGTCAGAGTGGTTAACAGATGGAATGCACTAGGAAGAGATGTGGTGGAGGCTGACTCCATACACAGTTTCAAGTGTAGATATGATAGAGCCCAATAGGCTCAGGAACCTGTACACCAGTTGATTAACAGTTGAGAGGCGGGACCAAAGAGCCAGAGCTCAACCCCCGCAAGCACAACTAGTCAAGTATACACTACCAGTGACAGGTATATACAGGTCAAGGGGCCAAGGCAGCAGCAGCAGGCACTTTGACAACACTTTATACTGGCACTTTCAACAGTCTTCAAATTGTGTATTTTGCAACAATAATTTGCTTCAATTACCTGGTTCTCGACGCCCCCCCCCACCCCCCGAGGCTTAACTCTGCTCTCTTGTACTTATTCTCTTCTCTTCTATCTTTATTCCTTCTTCCTTTACTTCTTCCGCCTTTTCTACTTATATTGTTGCGTTTTATCTTTCTTTAGTCTCTATGTGCCCTCTATTATTTGTATATATACACAGTATATATATATATATATATATATATATATATATATATATATATATATATATATATATGTGTGTGTGTGTGTGTGTGTGTGTGTGTGTGTGTGTGTGTGTGTGTGTGTGTGTTGGAAAAGCAAGAACCTGAGCTAAAACGCATGAACTACTAGAGAGAGAGAGAGAGAGAGAGAGAGAGAGAGAGAGAGAGAGAGAGAGAGAGAGAGAGAGAGAGAGAGAGAGAGAGAGAGAGAGAGAGAGAGAGAGAGAGAGACAGAGAGAGAGAGAGAGAGAGAGAGAGCAGCGGACCGTGCGGGAGCAACGTTCACAGTCGCGCTGTAATTGTTCTTACCGGAGAGTGAACCCTTCACAGTTCTTGGTGGCTATAGCTGGTTCCCCTGCGCTCTCTTCCTTGGCTCTTTCCTTCCTCCTGCTTCCAACACCTTATTCCTCGTGGCCTGTCCTCTCCTCCAGCCTCCGAGCCTGCCTCAAGTGATGCTCTGTCTCCTCTATCTCCTCCTCTCTTCCCTTGTCTTTGAACCTCTTTTCTTGAAGCGTTTGACTTTTAGTCTGCCTCTATTGCAATATTCTCATTTACCGCCTTTTTTCTATCGTGTATTGCTGCGGCTGCTTGTCCCCTCAGGGGCTGGTCCCCTTGTAGCTACCTCCTCCTTCTCTGGCATTGTCCCTGGCACGGTCCCTGGCACAGTCCTTGGCACAGTCCCTGGCACAGTCCCTGGCACTGTCCCTGGCACAGTCCCTGGCACTGTCCCTGGCACAGTCCCTGGCACTGTCCCTGGCACTGTCCCTGGCACGGTCCATGGCATAGTTCCTGGCACGGTCCCTGGCTCAGTCCCTGGCACAGTCCCTGGCACAGTCCCTAGCACAGTCCCTGGCACAGTCCCTGGCACAGTCCCTGACACAGTCCCTGACACAGTCCCTGGCACAGGTGGTCCAGTCACCTACACATGTGTATCCACCCTGGCTGACACCTACATACACCTGGGGTGTCGATCAGACACGGCCAATCACACGGGGAAAAGCAGCAAAATCAAACAGGTGCAGACAACTGGAAAGTTGCTACACCTTTGTTCCCATAGCATCTTAGACGCTCTGCCCCCCCCTGAGGGGGGGGGGGGTAGTAGAAGTGCTTTGAGTACCCTCAAAGAATTGGGTTCTAGGCTCGTTGACACTATCAGAGACCAAAGAGCTGCCAGTTTCCTGTTTGAGCGCCTTGGTGTGGCGATGAAGGAGCTCTAAGGAGCTCCAAGAGATCCAAACTTTCATTGTATTCACCAATGTGTAATTTGTAACCAAGAAGAACAAAACAATCACATAAAAAACAACTTGAAACTCCACTAGGCCTACCAGCAGAACTAATTAGCCAGCAGCTCTAACAACCAGGGGCCACATTCACGAAAGCACTTAAGCAAACACTTACGAAACCTGTGCATCTTTTCTCAATCTTTGGCGGCTTTGTTTCCAATTATTAAACAGTTAATGAGCTCCGAAGCACCAGGAGGCTGTTTATAACAATAACAACAGTTGATTGGCAAGTTTTCATGCTTGTAAACTGTTTAATAAATGTAACCAAAGCCGTCAATGATTGAGGAAAGATGTACACGTTCGTAAGTGCTTGCGTAACTGCTTCGTGAATCTGGCCCCATGCTAATGGGCATCCACATTAAAGGAGAATGTCAGCAGGAAAAAAGAATAATATATATATATATATATATATATATATATATATATATATATATATATATATATATATATATATATATATATATATATATATATATATATATATATATACAGGGCTTACTTCACCTCGCATTCCAACCGATAAGAAAGAAATTACAGTAATTACTATAATTTATATAAGAAATATTATAATTTCTCAATTTAAAATTTAAACATTACCATTTTTATAAGACATACTATACAAATAATTGAGTTTCTTTGTTCCAAGATGTTTACCATCGAGAAGCTGGAACATAAAGGGATTAAAATATAAAAACTAAAAACCCAAAGGATAATTAATTTAGCGAAAATGAAGGAATGAGATTTTTCTTTTAAATCTCAAATTTAAAATCTCTTTACCCATATTAAAATAACAGAGCACAGCTCCCTTCGGCTGTCAATAGAAGTGACACAGCGTTAACAAATAAAATAAATTATTATAAAACAATTACACAATAATAAGAGGGTAGTAAGAACTGTATTTGTTAAGTATCCAGTAAGAAATGGCGTCTGAGGTGTGATTCACGAAGCAGTTACGTAAGTACTTACGAACGTGTATACCTTTCCTCAATCTTTGACGTCTTTGGTTACATTTATTAAACAGTTTACAAGCATGAAAACTTGCCAATCAACTGTTGTTATTGTTATAAACAGCCTCCTGGTGCTTCGGAGCTCATTAACTGTTTAATAATTTGAAACAAAGCCGCCAAAGATTGAGAAAAGATGGACAGGTTCGTAAGTGCTTGCGTAACCCCTTCGTGAATCTGACCCCCAGGAAACTACCACACAATAACTACCCCTCAGGTTAGCACGACTACAGGGAACGAGGACAAAATAGTGTCAGTCAGTAGTTAGGTTGTTTACAGGTCGAAATGAAGGATAGATCCAAGTTAATAGATCCAAGGATAGATCCAAGGATAGATCAAAGGATAGATCCATAAGCGAATTAATTAATGAATTCAAATATTATTTTAAACCCTTCCAAGCTGTAATTTTATTAATAAAAGACGAGATATAGATTTACTATAGAGGATCTTGAAGACACTTAAGTGGCATCCAGTTGTGACTTTAGGCCGCCCCTTAGGCCCCACTTAAGTGTGTAGGTATTAAATATGTATGTATGTGTATATGTATGTACTCACCTAGTTGTGTTTGCGGGGGTTGAGCTCTGGCTCTTTGGTCCCGCCTCTCAACCGTCAATCAACTGGTGTACAGGTTCCTGAGCCTATTGGGCTCTATCATATCTACACTTGAAACTGTGTATGGAGTCAGCCTCCACCACATCACTGCCTAATGCATTCCATTTGTCAACCACTCTGACACTAAAAAAGTTCTTTCTAATATCTCTGTGGCTCATTTGGGCACTCAGTTTCCACCTGTGTCCCCTAGTGTGTGTGCCCCTAGTGTTAAATAGACTGTCTTTATCTACCCTATCAATTCCCTTGAGAATCTTGAATGTGGTGATCATGTCCCCCCCCCTAACTCTTCTGTCTTCCAACGAAGTGAGGTTTAATTCTCGTAGTCTCTCCTCGTAGCTCATACCTCTCAGCTCGGGTATGTATGTATGTATGTATATATGTATGTGTGTATGTGTGCGCGTGTTGTGGTAGACTTATCTACTCTGAACAACTGGACGCCGGCAGGAATACAACCAATTATAATTGGTCTCAAAAGTAATTTTGTGTCATGTGACATTTTCCCAATTGCTCGTCCAGCTAACAGAAGAAAATGTATATAAGCTGGTTAGCTTTGTAAATGTCTGGCCACGTCTGTGGTAAAAAAAAAAAATTTCACAGACAGTAATATCTAGGAATTTGAGCATCTTTATCTTGAAGAAGGATTACATTTACTCTCAGATTCCCACAATATTGTCACCACAGACATCCTAAACTGTTGTACTGACCTCAACTCTCCTGTTTCCATCTTCATTACTTTGCATTTGGCTGGGTTAAATTCTAGCAGCCATTTATCAGACCACTGCTGAAGTGTATCCAAATCCGTTTGCAATGTAATCACACTCTGTCTCTGTTCTGAGTCTTCTCTTTGGTTACGGCATCAGCAGCAGAGATTAATTTGAACCTGCTTGATGGGGTTC